AAAGAGCCGAGATACCTTAACTTGGCATATCATTAGTCTTTATTTAGCCAAGGTTATAACTTGGACAAGACTAATGCATTGTCTCTTCAAAAGAACCGAGATATTTTAACTCGGTATACTGTTAGTCTTTATATAGCCAAGCTTAAAACTTGGACAAGACTAATGCTTAAAATTCTTATAAGATATTTCAAATTTAAACCGAGCCTTATTAACTCGGTAAGTTATATCTTTTCGACCAAACTAATAACCTTCGAATACCAAAGTACAGTGACTTGGGAAGGTTATGGACTTAGTAAAATTAATGTCGGATTGTCTTGAAATTCAAATCCTGAAGATTGGTTTGAAATAAGATAATATCCGAGTTTCCATCTCAAAAGATGGTGTCCACTTAAAAATTTAAAGTTTGGCCGATTTCTTAACACTTGAAATATTCAGCTAAAGTAAAAAGCCATGCTGGATATATGAATGGAAAAACTTAAAATGAAATTTTTATTCATACTTCATAATAAAATCCATTACAATAAAAAGATTGTGCCCCGACATGCCGGAAAAAAAAAAAAAAAAAAACAACAACAAAAACAAATTACAAACTAAGCAGATTTCGCTGGCTCATCAACTGCCTTGGCCAGATCAGCGTTGCCTTCATCTTCATCAGCTGCTTTGATTCCTTCAGCATCATCTTCCTTCTTGGCTGCTTCTTCCGCATCGTTCTTGATAATCTGCTCGTACATCATGCGGCTAATGATGTCGAAGACTCGGTCCTCTTCAGCCTTGGCAGCCTGTTCGAGCTCAGAAAGGGTCACGGGGATATGCTTGTCTAAAACTGTATCTTCTCCCCCGCCTTCAGATAACTTGGTCGCTTCAGATTGATCACCTTTCTGCGACAGCTCCGCAACTTTCCTTTCAAGGAAGGCCACAACCGACTTCCGAAGTTGCTCAGGAGTCATTTTCTCAAGTTCCTCCTGCAAGCTAACCTCGGATAGAGTCTTCACATAGATGTTAGCCAGCTCCGACTTCTTTTCCTTCTCCCCCTCCAACACCATGTTAACAAAAGCGCGACGAAGACGAGCCTCCCTTTCTTGGCCCGACTCAGAAATCTTGAGACCGGCTTCAGCCCTAATTGAAGCAAGAAGGCCCTCGCAGAAACTTTTCTCGTCCTCATCTGCCTCAATATGAGTCGTCGCGATGGAAGGATTGAAGTTATGGCTCTGAATTTTATGTAGCAGGAACTGACGAACTTCCTCTATACCATATAAACCGTCGTCGAAACGCTCAACCATCCAGCGTAGGTTGAGACAAGTGTTCATCTCAAATTCGCGATCCTTGTCTTCGGAGTCGGACTCTGCTTTTCCCTTGAGTCGGTTGGCCTCTGCCTCAAGAATTCTCCCTGCTCGGAGACCATCGTTATACTTCTCCTCGGCAAGTTTAATTTTTTCCTCCTGTAGCTTGCCGAGTTTGGCTAAATGAGCATCTCGGTCCCTCTTCAACAGTTCTTCGACCTCGGACCGACTCTTCCGAGTCACCTCATGGGCTTCCTGCTCCTTTCGAAGAAGACTCTCGCACCGAGATAGCTGCTCTTCTAGCATCATCACATGCTGTTCGGAGGTGATAACTTGGCTCGTCAACTTCAACACATCATTATCAAGGCTAGCCTTATCCGTTCTTAAAGCCTCGATTTCGCCTTGAGCGATCGTCAACTGTTCGGTTTGCTCATCAATCTTCACCTGCAGCTCCCTCTCCTTGGCTGCTGCTTCTTCTCTTAGAGATGCAAGTGCTCCATCTCTAAGTTCTAACGTATGCTTCTTCTCATCGACCTGGGCCGCATTAAGCCGAAATTCATCCTCGGCCATCACTAAACTGACAAGCGCGCGACCCAAACAAGCCTTGGCGTATTTGAACTTGTACGCGCTCGCCAACGAGGATACACCGATCTCGGACCTCGGATCCCATACCATCATCGGGACCCGAGCAGCATCTATGACATGGGCAGGCAGCTCCACAGTACTTGATATCTCAGGAATCTCAACCGATTCAAAAGTCGAGAACCATTTCTCGACCGATTCCCGAGGCTGCCTGAAGTTCAGAAACCTCTCCTCATCCATTGGCAAGAAGGATCGATCAATGATAGGCTCCTTCTTCTTCTCGCGATCACCGCCATCATGCTTCTTTTTTCTTCGCTCCTCGGCTACGGGGACATTTTCAGCCTGCCTCTTTTTCGACCGAGTAACGGGCACTTCACGCTCAGCAGTTATCTTATGGCCCTCAGGCTCATCAGAAGCCAAATCAATCACCAGCGGATTTTCTGCTGTGACAGCCTCAACGTTTGGCTCAGCCTCAGAAACAGCAGTAGTCGCAGTAGTAGTCGCAGCAGCAATGGCAGCCATAGGACCTGCTGCTGCAATAGCCAGAGGATTAGGCAGCGGGACAACAACTGCAGCCGCCGACGTCGCACCATCCCCGACGTCGGTTTTCGGTGGATTCATGATGGGGTTTTCCAAGTAAGCCTTCACTAATTTCTTGCGACCCATTCCTGTCAAACGCAGCTCTTTGCTCTTTCCGACTTTAGTTCGCAGTTCCAAATTCGGACTCCTTTGTCGGAAGGCTCTAGCGTCACGAACAGTCTTGAAACCGAGCACTCCTAGAAGCGGATAATATACTGCAATTATAAAATCGAGTTATCACAATATCCAAAAGATACCGACTTCGAGTAAGATTGAAAAATTTAATTCGAATTTACCTGGTTGAAAAGAACCGTCTAAGATTTCTGGACACAATCCAGCAGCTTTCAACCTTGAATCCTTTAGAATCAGCTTGAAGCCACGTTGTGTCTTCTTAAGCTTGAATAGTTCAGAAATCCTTCCTTTCAAAGTCGCACTGAGTTCAACTCCTTTGCTTTTGGCTGCAAACAGTAAAGTTGATGCCCTGTTAGTACACAAATAAAAAGCAAAGTCAGAATAAACTCGGTCTATTGGAAGAAAAAACAATACTTACAAACTGCAGAATTAATGTTAATCGGAATTGACATTCCATCAATCAAAGGCTTATTAAAATTTGGAGTCTGCCACTCCCCGCCGACCCACAGCCATTCTTCTTGAAACCCATGCAGTGAATCCGGGATTTCTGTGATCAGATCACCGATCTTAAAGCCACTTTGGGGCCTCCCTGCGCAAGCGTAGCAAATCAAAGGATCTGCTACCTGCCTATCAGTGCATCTCCTAAACGAGAAAAGGCTCCTCAACTCCTCAACAGTTGGCATATCCCAACCCTTTTCCTTTAGCAACACCAGAAGACCGATGATTCTCTTCCATGAGTTGGGCGCTACTTGACACAAACTAATCCCCCAATTCCTCAGATAATCCGTGATCAGAGCAGGAAGTGGGAATCTCAAACCAGACCTCAATGAGTCGGCAAAAACGCCAACACAACCCGGAGGAGGACAAGTTATTCTTTCACCTGGATAAGGGGCAAATAGCTTTACTGAAGACGGGATATAAACTTCCCCACGAAGCATGACGATGTCGGCGTCAGTGAGAATACTCGGCTCACCTCTATACTCGTCAATCGGCTCTGGCCACCGACGAGCAGGACGCCTCCAATAATCCGGAAGCGACATAGCGTCCTCTTCGACTCGCTTATCCTCATCGACGATATCCCTATTGAGATTAAGACTCTTAACCAAAAGAGGATCCCACCGATAATACTCCAGAGGCAATTCCAAATCCTCGTCGGTAAGGATCGGGATATCCGAAATCGTTCGGCTACTGCTATTCTCAGTTTGCGCAGACATTTCTCTTCGAAATCGATGAAAAAATGCAGAAAAATTCGAAAAAATACGAAAACAAGAAAAATTAGGGCAAACTCTTACCAAGACTTTTGAAGAACCCTGGATTGATGAAAAGATCACAAAAAGAAGCAAATGCGCGAAGAAAATACGTAAAGAAGAGATTGCTGAAAGAACGCAAGAAAAATCGAAGAAATTAAAGGTACAGAAATTTTTTGCGCCCCAAAACCGACTTCAATTTATAGGTTTTGATTTATGACCGTTAGAAGCATCCGGAAGCGGCGCGTGTAACGGACACATCTTCAAGGGGCATAACGTTACAGTAATTATTATTCTACGTGGCCATACCCTGAAACGCCATGTCGTTACAAAATTGTATCCGTTGGGCCCATTTAATGCGGACACGTCTTTTAAGAGCCGCCATGTCAGATCAAATACCGTGAAATGTCAAGCAAAGCAAAGTGTCCTCATGTCGGTAAATGACGCAAAGCAAGTCGGAATAAAATGAAGCAACAAACAACATCAGCAATCATTTAAAAAGCTTCAAATACTTACTGATGTCGGGGGCCTCACTGTTGATATCAAATCCAGTAATCAGAGCTTAAGGAACTAAAAGTCGGAATATATTATAGCAAATTACCGACTTCTTAAGAATTGCCGATTTTCGACAGACACAACTTCGACAGACAAAAAGGATCGAAACCGACATCCGAAACCGACGTAAATAAACCGACATCAAGTCAACCGACTACCATAAAGTTTGAGCATTCCAAATAGAAAGTAATCATTAGAAGCATCTGATTGGACCAACGAAACAAAAAGGCAATCATTGATGTTTCCCGCCGCCTCAAACAAAGCAGCTCAATATTAAATGCATCTCTATCCATTTCGAGGAAGAAGACAAAAGCCACCGTACTATAAATAGCAGAATTTATGATAGTGCGAGGATCTGATCTTTTTCGATCACATGGTACATGAACAAAATACAATCTCGGTTTTCAGCTTAAAACCGACTTCTGTACTCTTGTGAACATAATCAATAAAATCCAATTAAACTTTATCTTCATTTTCTGAACATCAACTGTGTTTAATTTTAAGTTGTTAATTCAAGACAGCAACAATCTACACATCCTAAAGTATTTTTTTTTTTTTCAATTTTAATCGAGCTGATATATTGGACTACATTATCTTTAATAACAACAATAAAACACATAAATATATTGAACCCCTTCAACTCAATTTTTAACTCAAAAAGGGCATGAAAGGGATAAAATTCGGTGTTTCTCCCGCAAAGCACCGTAGGAAGGAAATGGTGTTCGACCCGAACCCGCTATCCCTCAGCGTGCCCGAACCCGCTTTCGAGTCGTGGCTCCGCGACTCCGGCTACCTCGAAGTCCTCGACCAGCGCACCACCGACCTCCACCGCCTCTCCGCCGCCGGACCCTCCTCTTCCGCCGCCGCGATTAGTTCCGACGGGGTATCCCTCATCTCGCGGCTCATCTCTCGCATCTGGACCGTCCTGTCGCTCCTCACCTTCAGCCCCTTCTCGAAGCTCTCCACCAGCGATTTCACCGGCGCCACGCCGAGCTGGACCTTGGCGTTTTTCGGCTCGTCCGAGTCGTACTCGTTCCCGTCCGAGCCGTCGCAGGCTCGGCTCCGAGTGCAAGAGAACGTCAAGCGGTTTGCCCGCAACTATGCATCACTCTTCGCCCTCTTCTTCGCTTGCTCTCTGTAATGATTTTTCATCTCTCTACATAAATTGTCTCTTTGTGGTGGATTTAACTGTGTTATTTTCGTTATTATGTTTTTGCATCTGATGAATTTGTAAAGGAATGGCTATTGAAATGCTTGAACGTGTCCTGTGATAAAATTATGAGTGTGACTGTGAACTGAAATTCTACAGCTGATTCTTAGATTTGATTGTTTTCTTTCTTGTTTTTTGAGCTTCTATCTACGTGGAGTAGCTCTACGTATTTGTGATTTTCGATTGCTATCTTATCCTTTTTATGATTTTTCTTCTTCTTTTTTGAGCATCAATCTATCTTGTGTAGCTCGATGCCATCTTAATGAATTTTTATCTTCCTTTTTCAGCATGTCTGTGGTGTAGCTCAAAACTGTCAAAGAATCGAGTNTTTTGTATTTTTAGATTGCTATATTATCTTTTGTATGACCTTTTTTATCTTCCCTTTTTCAGCATCTGTCTATGCAGTATAGCTCGAAATCGCTAAAGAATAGAGTACTGTTTTGAAAAATGTCGGCAATTATCTGTTTTCCAATCGCTTGTCTTATCTCGATAACCTCTTGCACTGATTTTGTTGTAATTATTTTACGTGGCAGATATCAGTTGCCATTAGCCCTTGCCGGCCTCATCTTGTGCTTTGCATTGTGGGAGGCGTTTAAATTAAGCAGTGATCGTTGGGGATTTGATCGGTATCCCTTAATAAGACAAACTCTGATCGGCATTGCTCAATGTGGTGAGTTTTCGTGACCTAAATGGGTTTTCGCTTCCAATTTCCCTACTTTGCCTGGTTATTTCCCATCTAATGAGGGAAATACTTGTTGAAACTTGAAATAGCTACAGTGCTATACTGAGCATCATGTTCTTTTCAAAGATTGTTTACGTTTTGTAAAGAGATAAAATTGTTGGTTATAGGCATTGGAAATCTCTTGCTAGGGGTAAAAGAGGAGCAAAATCACTGTCCTCTTTCTTTTTACCGATATCATCATCTTTGCAGTGAAAAAATCATGATAATCTAGTGTGAGCAAAGCTTTGTTACACTTATATTTGAATTTCCTGATGCAAAATTTTGCAGCCACTGTAGTGATTCTATTCATTTCCAAGGTCCAATTAGCAGTCTTCTGTGCAATTGCCGTAAGCTACGCAGGTAAAAATTATGAAGTCGTTAGAGCCATTGGTTTTTATTTCCCGATGCTCGACTGGAGTTTATCTCATCAATTATTTATTGTATTCTTTGTGCAGTCATGATATTACACGCCTCGTTTAGAAAGTTGACCCCATCGAACCCACCTGCTCCAAGAGGTGATCACCGGAAAACGGCCAGAAAATAATGCCGACCAAACGCTGTGCGTTTTTTTTTCTTCTAATAGAATTTGGCATTTTACAAGTTGTATTGCAGAAAGTGTGCAGCTTGATTCGGATCAACTTTCGAAGAAGTTATTTGCAGAACCTCATTAATTTTCGAGCAATTATAATCCTCTGTAAATTCAATTTGAAATCACATGAAATTAGGGAATTGAGTTATGCTTATTCTCTCTGTTCACCGTTAAAGTTGGTATTTTTCGTGTTTGTAGCCTTTCTTTTTATTCACTAGAAATTGAGTTTAAGCTAATTCACAACTTTTCAAATGATTGCTAAATAGCAGTATTGCAAGAGGACAGAAGCAACTACAAGCAAAGTCTATTCCATGTTCATTGTGTAGGCAGTAAAAACTTGGTTAGATACAGTGAGAAAATAAACAAATTATATCATCAATAAACCGGACAGCCTTGAGAACTTGAGAGTTTAAATCGAAGTTGTACAAATCACAAACAATAGACCTTAATCACTAGAGTTATTTTCTTTTCCTGTTCTAGTGCAAAGGCAAATAAGAGACTCGTTATCCGACGATCTTCTTGCACCAAAGAACACACAAAAACTATATAATAAATAACTAACAAAAATTACCATGCTATAAATTACATGTTTCTTGAATGATATGTACATTAACAAAATTTTTACTGAAATAACACAACGAATGAAGTTTACCCAAACGATAAATAACAAGATATTTCAAGAATTTAGGTCCCGAGAGGCGTGGCCTTGCCATCTGCACATTGTATAGAAAGGGTCAGTACACACACGATAGCAAAAGAAAAGTCGTATTATACTATCTATTTATATTCGCTCGGAATCGAAAGGTGCGACTAGCATGGAAGTTCAAATAGTAACAAAGATAATTAACACAAAACCACCCTTCAAATTTGTTCCCATTAATAGATTCATACATTTAATGTAGGTGTAGTTTTTTCAAGTAAATACGGACTTTTGACTATTACTATAACTTGCTAAATCCCATATGTGCCAAAATGATAATAACGAACAGTATCTTTGACCGACCTCGAGAGCAAGAATCTTGCCAGTGGACTCATGTTGGAGTTTGAATTATGCTCCTTGGTTTGCTGTTTTTTCTTGCTATCAGCCTCTGGACTTGTCGGTGGTACTTCATTCTTTCCCTTTCCGAATAAACGAGCTGCTAGATCCTGAAGGTCCTTCATAGACCCTTCCTTTGAACTACAAAAGATTATTTTATGCATAATTTGAACCATTTAATCATTTTTATGCATATTAAACAAAATAAAAAATGAGAACTTTAGAGTTCTAATGAACCTGGCCAGACGTCGAAGTAATTTGGTGACAAGAAGTTCGGAGGAACCAGGATTATAACGTTCCATGTCCATTAACGAGTTGGCCACTGTCCAATATACTGATCCTTCGGAATCATTAGTAATAACCTGAGTTTACCCATCATGCATAAGAAAATTATGCCACTCGATTTATCAGAATCAATTATTTGATTTTGATGTGCAATCATCTTCACAATAACATAAAATCTTTCGAAAGTTAAAATTTTATATCATCATATAAGACATTTATGCACCAAAATCATTATCTTGTGAAGTGAAGTGAAATTTTTAAGAGCAAATTCAAGATGCATAATTTAAAAAAAAAATAAAATAAAAACCTCCACGAAGCTTACATCTTTAAGAGAAGGAATTAGAAGAAACGATAATGGGGCAGAGAGAGCCGCTGCAGAATTCCTTGCAGCATCATCATCTTCCTCATTACTTTTGTGGTGTGATCTTGGAAATGCTTTTTGTGCATCAAAATAATCACGAGAAT